GTGTGTGATAAATTTTGTGGGGAGATTTATATATTTAATTTTGTTTTGTGGGCTATTGTGTGTGATGCAAATATTGAGGTGAGATCTGAAGAGAAGATGTGAAAAACATATGGCCAAAGGCTTTAAATATATATATGCATGAATTGGAATCTCTTTACAGAGAGAATCAACTCACATGGACATCGAGGATTGCCACCTTCGAATTTGTGTTTTGTATGGACGATTCTGCCCTTGGAGTGTTTAAGACTTAAATAGAGTTTAATTATGGTTTATTTTGTCAAATTTGATGGTTTGTTTTTAGTAAATTTTGAAATAAGTGAATGGGATTGTCCATAACTAGAAAAGGAAAAATTATACTATTATATAAATAAAGTTAAGGGTCAATTATTTGACAATTTATTATGTGAGGTGGACTAATTATTAGGTGAATCAATGTGTCACACTCCTGCGATGAAAAATGCATACTTATGTCGTACGTCAACTGTATTGTTATTTAAAATATCATATATTTAATAAAAATGTGTAGATTTTAAAAAGTGTATGTCAGCCTAACAAAAGATCCAATGAATTTTTGGGTTCTCAATGGCTATTTATTTGTATGTACTAGTCTTAAACTTTTTCCATATCTTTTAATTATTTTATGCCATATTTATTGGCATTAATTGATAGAGAAATTCAATAAACCATTCAATAAATACATCTCATTAACACCAATAAAAGTGTCCTCATGCTAACCAACTCAACTAGCTGTTAAATCATGATATCGCTTTTAGTCTCCTACTCTCCTTTATGGAATTGTGTTATGGAGGTTGATCCTTTGGACACCGCTCTGAGAAGATAGGTTCAGTTTTTCTGGTTCTTTTAGTGTTAGTTACACCCCCAGTTGTACTCTTTTGAATTTTTCAGTTTTTAATACAAAATTCGAATTTACAAATTCTTGTATGCGTCGAACTTAACTATTATCCGGGTCGAACCATCATATTTTTTTTAAACAAAAATCTATATTTATATTATGAAATGTCATACTTTTATTTATGTTACTTACTCCCTTCTATTCATAATAAATGTCAGTTGCACAGTAAATAAAAATCTTTTTCGTCAATAATAATCTTCATTAATGAAGATAGAGATTGATGTTTTGAGAAAAAAATAAAGAGTAAATATGAAAAGACGTAGTGTATTTATTAGTTAAATGAGGATAATAATAGAAAAATATGTATAAAAGATCCAAAACGTCATTTATTTAGTTAACAGTTGATAAAACCAAAATGACATTTAAAAAGAATAGGAGGTAGTATCAGACGTAACAGTTCAGTTTAAAAGTATGCACTCGTAAAAATATATAATTACCTAAGTAAATCTTATTGGTCTAAATTCTACTATTATTTATTTATTTTTTGTTTTTCGAATTTTTGTCGTATCGTGTCATGTCAATCATGCAATTTTGTCTCCAAACAATGTTTCTAATTTGAATTTGTCGTGTTAGTATTTGGTATCGTGTCAGTCATTAACACCCGTGCTAATTAGGGGCAATTTGATCATGTTTAGGGAAGAAAAGGAAAAGAAAAAAGGTGGGACAGGGGTAAAAAGGTAAATTGGGAAAGTAGGAGGAGCAGCCAAATGTGCGGTTGCATGATGCAGCAAGCGTGAGCGGGCAACACATATCGCCACCCAAATGGTGTCTGCAGACTCGGTGCACTGATCAATTCTGCTTTTTCCTGCCATTTTTGGCCTTTCTTCACGCTTTTTATTTTTCATAAAAATAAATGAATAGAGAACACGTGGAAATTGACTTGTATATTTGTATTTTTGTTTGCACCAAGTTACACACTCACGATGATATCGTGTTATTGTTACACGTGTTTAAAGTAGGTGGTACGTAGCCTCAGGTTGTCTTGTGGAATCTGTCGAGAGAGAGAACTGTGATTTTAATTTGCAATTTAGGATGTAATATTTTTTTTTTTGGAAAAAAAAAATTGAATTACCAATGCATATAAAATAAAAATGCAATAAAGTTGAGTTTGTAGAAAAAAGGGAGATGAAATGGGCAGTGGTTTAGGTGGATCTCGTTGCTCCGTCTATCCCCGGCTCCGGAGGGTCGTTGGCTGTTTTCTTTAAAATATATTAATATTATTATCTAGACTTAAGTAGGTGAATTTATTATAAGTTGAGATGATTTTATTTTGCAGGCTGTTAAAATAAATAAAAAATAAGATATTTAATATTGATTTCTAGGCACCGCCTAGACCCCGTCTAGGCTCTCTAGGCGTTAGGCGTTGGTCGAACGCCTAGCGAATTTAGAACAATGACTGTGAATGATTCCAGAGAAGGCTTTCATTCAAAAGAAGACTCGGATGGATATTGGTCCACCCACATATGGTGAGTGCTATTTTTTTTGTTTTTTTTGTTTTTTTTTTTTTTTTNGATATGTGTAATGAAATCTTTAATTATTATTCTTTTTTTTTTAATTATCAAGAACCCTAAATTCAAGATGAAAAGCATTCCTAAATGAAAGTCCATAAATTGAAATGAAATTATGGTTCTTTTGCAAACTCTAATTTAGAAGACAAATTAGGATTTTTTTTTGCAAACCCTAATTTCTAACACTAATGCAGTGAAAACTCCTAATTTTATTGAAAATACATCAATACATTTTACCAATGCTTATTGTTTTACTCATTTTACTTGTTTTTTTGTTTTGTTTTTTCTATTTTTTGTTGTTTGGTTTATTTCGGGTTTGGTTCCATAGAGTGTAGAGATCACATAACTCTTGTTCTTTAGTGTGGAGGTCAATTTATACATTCTCCAATTTACGATCATATTGGGGGTTCTAGTATAATGTTTGATTGGATAGAGATTTTAAAATTGGGTCTTGATACATTGAATTGTATTAATGATCTTTTTGGTTGTGTAGGAAATAGAAAATATTATTTCAACACGGGTACAACATAGATTGTTGGGAGATGGTAACTTTGTGTAGGTGGGCTAAAAGTCATATTCGTAGTCAACTGATGAAAATTTAATTACATTGATTTGAGAAAGGAAGGTCAATTTGTTTTTTACTTTTAAGTATGATGAAGGTAGTTGGATAGAATTGGAGGAGAAAAAAAATGAGAGTGAGACAAGTGAGAGTGGAGATGGCAAAGATGATGTGGATGGTGATAAATCTGTTGATAAGGGTGATAGGATATCTGACTCGGGTGATGATGTGGATGGTGACAAATCTGTTGATAGTGGTGGGTTGATGTTATGGGTGATGAGGTTAGTGAAAGTTTAGATAGTGTTTTGATATTGGGTGGTGAGATTGATTATGCAGATTTTGATCAGAATGTAGAAAAATCTATGGATTTAGAAGGTGAACTAGATTATGATAGTGGGGAAAAAGACCTGATTACAACTCCACGTGATTTTGTGGAGTATTGTTCAAATAATGATAAGGGTAGTCAGAGTGAAATCCTGTTTTATATATAAGATCCCATTTATTTTCCTCGGAATGATATTTGGTACTAGAGAAGATTTCAAGAGAGCGGTTCAGTCGCATGCTATTAAGTCCAAAAGAGGTCT